CCAATTTTGATAATCCGAACCGTTTATATTTTATGATTTATTCAGTATATCATACCTGTAAAAAATCAAGTTGATCGGATATCAGAAAGCATATGTTCGGAAAACTGTTTATTAAATTCTTTAAAAAATAGTGTTTAGTTCAATTTTTCAAACACATACTTTCTGATATCCGATCAACTTGATTTTTTACAGGTATGATATACTGAATAAATCATAAAATATAAACGGTTCGGATTATCAAAATTAGACCTAAAAGTAGATCCGAAGGCCTGCAAGGACGGACGCAAGCACAATAGAAAGGGAAATGAAAAAGGTAGGTAAAATGTGAATAAAACATGTCTATATTTCACCTAGTTTTACACACCTTTTCCCTTTCTCTTTCCAAATCCCTCTTCAAATCCTCCAACCAAACACAATATTAGTGTATCACATTTGTCTCAAAAATGAATGATAAATATATTTTTAAAAATAAACTATTCTTTATTAGATTGACTTTATTTTTTAAAAATAATAAATACGAAAAGTTTTAAAAAATAAATAATTCGAATCATTAAAATAAAACTTGTGATAGACTCCACACACCCGAATAGCATCTTTGCGGTGCAATTGAGAATTATAGAGAAGCCTCCCCCAAAGGGATATATATTCCTATTAGGGATGTAATCGGTTCGAAATGGTCAGTGTTTAGGTGAAATTTTGTACTAAATTGATAATGTCGATTCTATTATATTGAGAACCAATACAGACCAAATTTTTCATTAAACCACACCAAGCCACACCAATTCAAATGGTTCGGCTTGATGAGATTTTCGGTTCACAACTTTTCAAATTTGAGCTATTTTTTAAATTTGTAGTATAGCAAATAATTTATATAAAAATATTAAATTAACTATTTGTACATTACTTCAATATCCAATTTAACCATTTCACAAAAATACAAATAAAAAAATTAATAAATACTAGGTTTTAAGGTTTTACTAAAAAAATATCAAATAAAGTTAAAACAAAATCAAGTTTAAAAATATCATCTCATAAGACCAAATCACAAGTCTATCAAGTAAAGTTAAAATAAAAAATAAAAATTGTCATAAATATCTGATATAACTATATTGTCATAATAGTAACAAAATTTAACTTAAGCATATATAAATGGCAAACTAACAACTTATCGTATTGCCAATATCTATTGTCAAACTTAAAATATTTAAGGAAAGAAAAAAACAATTAAATTAATTAATTGAATTTTATACTCAACTAATTTCATTTTTAATATACAAAAGGTGCCTAAATCGGTAACCAAAAATCTAAAAGAAAATTAATTTTAAAAATTTCATAGGCCAATTCCTATTAAAAAATTAATCAAATATAACTGATTTGATCGATTTTTTTTTTTCTTTCACATCTCCCTAAGCCCTGCGGTGCACTAAGTAGGCAGAGCTGGACCACAGTATAATTGCCAATGCACTATTTCACTATAACCTTCGAGTTTTATTAAGTGTATCTCTCAATGATTGTGACCAGGGATTTTCTTTGCAACATCTGAACAAACTATGGGTCCTCCATCACGCAACATCACAGATTGAAAGGGTGATTACATTTACACTGATTTTCTTTAGATTTGGAGGAAATATAGCAAATTTTACAATTTTAATAATATTAATTTTTTCAGTAAGATTAAAAAAACTAGTACTAATTTATAGTAAAGATACAAGAATAAAAAAAATGTAAAATATAAATTTTCACGTAAAGGAAATAACAATATCATTTTAAAAAATTTAAAAATTCCAGAGATATTGATTTGTGATTATGTATCAATTTTAACCAGTAAATATCAATCCCAATCAAACAATCAAAGAGAAATCGACACAACGATTTTACGTGAAAAAATCACAATTGGAGCTCTTCTAATTGTGATAAAAAAATCACGGACAAAAACCACAAAACAATCCACTAAGAAGACACAAAGGAATTACATAAGTGTACTCTCAATTACCTAGCGAATCCACGCCCGAATCCAACCGACTCCTATGTGTCTCTTCCAACCCCATCTCAGAATTGTCTTGCCCAACGTTGAATCTACAACGCTAATGTTGAATCCACGACGATGAGTCACTCTAGAATCTACCAAAGCTTCATGCCCAAATTTCATATAATCCACCGAAGAACAAAACAAAATTAACAAGCCCTTTCATATAATCCACTCAATTTATGATATAAACTCTCAAAGATATCAAAAGAAACAAGCAAAGAAACTCTAGATGAAAACTCTAATACCCAAGAAGAAGATCTGGAAGTCGTATCCTAAAACTTGACTGAACTGCAGCTTTTATAGCAAACAAATCCGCGATCTCCGCTCGAGCGCAAGAATGGCCGCTCGAGCGGAAAAAAACAACTCCCAATACTTTTGCAGGTGAGTGAAACTTCTGAAAGGTCATGATCTCCGCTCGAGCACAAGAATGGCCGCTCGAACGGAAAAATAGCTCGATCCCCAACATGGTCAGTGATGTGGCAAACATGAAAGGATTAAGATCATAAGCTTCTCTATATAGGCACAATTCGGGTTAAATTCGCATCTAAATATTCACAACCTCACTTAAATAAAAGTTCGAATAAAATTATAACTGAAAGGAGTTTTATCAAACGGGATTGTTAATAACAAAAACCTAACACATTTTTTAATCAATGCGATTAACGAATTACTAATAAAAAGTATTATATAAAATATTAAGAGTGCCTAATGTAATTATTTCTCACTTGTGAAATTTATAGCATTTTTTCCAAACCTCAACATCCCAAAATTAAAAGATAATGAAGATCCATTTGGAAATTAGCTGTTTAAGTTAAAAATACAATAAATCACCAAAAATATTAAAGGAAAATTATGAATTAGTTGTATGACCAAAAAAAAATTGAGGAAGTTTTTTCAAGATTTTTGATATTAAGATTTTATAAGATAAATGATATACAATATTTTCATAGTAGTTAAGATCCCTCAACATTTTCACAAACAAAATTTAACTCAAACAAATTTCGCCAAACTCAGAGAAATTTCGGCCAGGGACAGAGAAATTTTTATTTGTACAGAAATTTTTTGAAAGTTCTCTAGTGTAATCACAAAGAAGTTTCATTGAAGGATCTTAACTAATAAAAAAAATTATATCTTGGATCTCTTCCACTATACAAAGTTGGAGAGGACTGTTTCACTAATTTTCTCAAAAAAAAATTACAAATTCATGAAAAAGTTTATAACTTCAATTGTTAAAGTTGATAAGTTTTACCATAGATCTAAAAAAAATTTTCAAATTATACACTCATGTATTTTCCCCAAAAATTAAATAGTAAAAAATTTCTTTTCATCCTTTCTATTTTTACACTTTCTTTTTTATGAAAACGAAAAAAATTATTCACAAACATTTTAATTTTTTTCACTACATATTTTAATCAAAAAAAAAAAATTTGAAAATCACTTCTTCAACCAACCCTAAGAGTCAATATATATATATATATATATATTAAGTCATTAACACCCTCACCTTATTTGGTTTCAATTTTTTGAAAATTAAATTTTTTATTTTTTCTATTTTTTTAATTTTTAGTGATTCTTTAATATTGTAAGCAATTTTTTTACTTTTTAGATGCAACTAATTTAGATATACCTAAAGAGTAAAGTATTTGTAAAAAAATATTTAAAAAATCAATAAATACACAATAATATGAAAATATATTGAATTTTTGTATTTTTTTAATATTTTTGGTATTTATTGAATTTTTTAGATATGTTTTTCACATATATTAAACTTTTTAATTGTATTTATGTTAAGTGCATTTAAAATGTTAAAAAATTATGTGAAATATTAAAAAAAACATTAAAAATACAAAAATAAAAAAATTAATTTTCTAAAACAACTAAAACCAAACTGAATTTTTTCCTTAAAGCCAACAATTAGGCTTTGAATAAAGATTGGGACCCCCTTTTCCCTACTTTTTTTTGACCCCCTTTCTTTTTTAATTAGTTATTTTTTTCTTTTTCTTTTTTTTCTCTTCAATTATCATCCTTTACATGTGTGTGAAAATTATGAGGGTTAAAATTTGAAGGGGTCTAATTCACTGCTGTTATGCGTTATCCATCTATATGCACATTAGTGCAATCAAATAGCCATCATGAAAGCAATTTGCTTCCCACTTTCGTAAAAGAGAAGTTTGTTGCCAACTGTACTTTAGCAATTGAGTTATGCCAGGTTCACCGAGTTTTGTCCCCCTACTGTGGCTCGAATGATGTGGATTGGTTGATGTGCCATTTATGCAGACTTTAATTAATTAATAATTTTATTTATTATTAATTATTTATTATTATATGATATAAAATTTAATTGATGTTGGTAATACAAGATTTCTTGTGATATTTTATCAACCCCCTTTTTTAGTAAATTTTATATTTTTAACAGTAGCAGCACTTAATAAATTATGTTATTGACAGTTTGTAATTAGTACTAATGATTTATTATGATCTATAATATATTTTGAATGTAAAAATGATACTCATAATAAAGAAAACCTTGTTATTTATTAGAAGACCTAAAATCTAAGATCAATAAAAACAGCACACATGTTCTTGAAAAGAAAAGATTTTTATTTATTGAACATAAAATTTACAAGAAAAAAACTGTTAGATTGCTAGAATATTGTTTGCTCTAAGAAGATTTTATAATCCAGACTTGATAATCTTGACTTCTTTTTTAGTTTCCAGTATACTTTATCTAATCTATCTCCCTTTTGCTCTCCCTTGACGCCCTTATATGGACACTTGTGGATTTCAAGTTTTGGATTTCAACCTAATCTATAAATATAAAATATTTTGCATATTATATTTTATTGCAAACAAACAAAAGATAAAGCAGGTGGTTGTGGTCAGGTGATCACATATTATTGATGAAAAAATACAAGCTACTCGAGTGGTCACATGGGTGTAGCCCATACAGCTCTTGATTTTGTAAATATGCCCATAGTTTAGTCAATTCATTGCATTCTTCAGATTCCATACCCCTTTATCATCCATGACATCACTAAAATCATAATTCTCATCATATTCTTCAAACATTTCATTCCAACCTTCTAGATCTTACTTCATCAGATATTTCCCAAAAATTTAGATCATTTTTTAGATAAATATGTTCCAGAATCTACATGTTCCAAGTAATCATATACTGATTCATAAGACAATCCAAGAACAATTATTTTTTCTGCCAATGATGTTGTTATTGCAAAAGTGGTTCTTCCATAATGAACTAATTTAAACTCAACCCATGCTAATTCTGTAATTTCATGAGATATTATGAAAAACCTTACTTCTTTTGGATCAATTATAAAAGGTTTTGTCACAATCCTTGAACTAACCACATTTTTATGGGATCACGCCATTCTTATCTTTTATTGTTATCAGATAATGAGTGGCATTTAGATGTCCATCATTTACCTCCGTTTTGTGTTATTGTTAATGTAATGGGTGCCATGCTTGAATATTATTTATAGGCTTTGTAAATTCTCTTGAACATGAATTGTTTGAATTTGATGAGCTGAGAGAACACGATATTCTGAAGGTGAGATAGAACGTCAAATGTATTGACTATTCTCAATTTTCAAATTTAAACCAGCATCTTTTGGGTTAATAACCTTTTCTGAATCAAATGAACCCTTTAACATTCTATAATTGTATACCTGCTGTCTGTCCATTAAAGTAACATCACTGTACAAAGTTTTTGTTTTGTGTATGAAGAGTCTATATTGCATGATTGTTAATTGAGTCATGATATTCCATCACCCAGAGCTGGCTATTGTGGAGTCCTGTGTGGTATATTGCTGGGGGTGGTAACAGGAAAAAATGTATGTCTCACAGTCTGAGAAGAACGCATTCAAACTTCTCCAATCTGTTTCTTCAACCGTGCAACTCTAAATGAGGAACATAATTTCTTTTTGATGTCAGGTTTAATGTGACAATTTGGCTTATTGCCTACTCTTTTCATCTATATTTGTCGCGATGGTGACCATCTCATGTGTGGTTTGGGACTTTGGGACCTATGTATGCATTCTAAGGAGAAGATTAAAAGCAGAACGAAGAATATACTTATATTTATTAAAAGTGGAAAGAATAATATAAAATCAAAGAGAAGGAATACTCATGTAACTCTTATTACTTGAAAGAAAGGGAAAATGGCAAAATTAGTTGGCACTCTAGACTATTGGTTTGAATTTATTATAATTTTGCTATTGTTTAGTTCTTTGGATCTTATTGCCTTTGGTTGTGTAGTTATTTGGTATCTCTAAAGAATCCAATGACTCACACTTATGCATGTCACCTAATTTGCATTTTAGCTTTCTTTTTTCCTTAACTTTTCTTTCTATTCTATTCTCTCTGTTTTCCCGGACATACAAAAATCTTGATTTTTGATGTTTTAAAACGTGAGTAGTCTGTTTCTGTTGCATATCCTCCATCTTCTATCATCACTGCCAAAGTACAATTTGTTGATTTTGCAGCTTGTTACAGTGTCACCACCATGCCGTTTTTCAAGAAACATTTCAATTTTTAAGTGGTATCGGTGGCATGGTATTCCTATTCTCTCTCTCTCTCTCTACAAATACAGTGTGTGCTTGTGTGTTTAGTTTGAGCTTCTTCTTTTATGGCGATAGAAATACTCCATCAGATTGGCAAGGTTGTTTCCTCTCTGTCTGCCTAACCAAAAGTTGTTTTACGCTGTATTTGGTTGAGAGATTTGGGAAGGGATTTAGAAAAGGAAATAGAAAATGTGTGTAAAACTAAATGAAATATCAGTATATTTTAATCACATTTCATCTATCTTTATCTTTTTCTTTTCCTTTTCTTAATCTCTTCTCAAATCTCTCAACCAAACCCTGGTATGTTGATTTTATTTGATTGTGCATCCATGAGCATCTTGGTGATTTTTTGGAAACATGTGCAACATGATTATTTCTATCCTAGTTGGCGGCCCTGCACTAGAATGTTGATCATCTTCAGTGATGATATGCTCTTTATGTTAGGCCTTAACTATTTACAACATAGGTCTCAAGTTGTAAATTCCTTTGACACCAATCATATTGGTCTCTTTATTTTTTACTCAAAAAAAATCAGGAATTGTAATTCATATATGATAAATCATGAAGTATTTTGCCTGTTAAAAGAAAAGTACCTTTTTTTGTGTGTATGTATTCCTGCCAATTTTGCTATATGTAAAGACCTAGTGATGTTCTTATTGGTGAGAAGCTATTTAAATCATTTCTTTTCTGCCCTCAATCAAATTTTACTTGAAAGTGATGTTATATAGGCACACAGAGAGAATTGTGGTTTTACTTTTATTAAATATTTACGTTTGATTGTCTTTGTAGGGTATTCTACTTGAAGACATGAGAATGCTACTGCAATAATTCAAGTCCTCAGTCAGATACTTATCTATTCAATTGATGTATCTGTGATGATGTTATCTTGCATTTAATTTCAACTCTAAGTTGATTAATTCAAACTCTCATCACTCCTGTGAACCTTTTAGATTTTTTTTTTTCTTCCAATTTTTGCTTTCTTTAATTTTGAACAAATGAGTAAGTTTATTCCCATGCTTCTGATGGCCTTTGAACAAATTTTTATTTTTATTATTCAGGTCAAAAATTGCTTGGAGAGATAGAAAATATAGTCAAAAAAAGACAAAACATTCAAGAACTTTGAGTTCTCCTTACTTCTTCTTCTTCTTTTTTTAATGAGATTTTTATTGTGTAATCACATTAAGAAACATTTTATTCCTTAACTTTCATTTTATATATTTTTCCAATATTCAACTTTCGTTTATGAAATATATGAGGTTATTAGCTATTCATATGTGGTTAATATTGTGATTCAAAGGAAATTTTTGTACAAATAATATTTGATTATATTTCAGATATTAGTTTTGTTTATAGTTTAATCATGATTTACATGCTATGATTGATAGTCACATTTTGTAATCAAACCATTTTTTTAATCACACATACTAACGGTAATAAGAAATGCTTATAATTATGATCTTATCTTATTATTAATCATCGATTATTTAAGTTTAATCTCAGGTTTGATTAGTTATCAATCACACTTAAAATTCGTGATCTAAATATTTATTATCACGATCAAAACACATGATGAAATTATCTTTTAATGACGATTAAAAAGTGTAATTGACCCTTAACAATTACACTCTCAAATACCATACTTTGATAAAATAAAAAACCTATGATTAAATAGTAGACATCACTTATCTGTGATTTATTTCTGATTTTGTAGTAGTCTCACTTTCTAACTCAGAAATTATCTTTCAATTCAGCCCTAGGTACTGTAATTAAATGCATAGACATATTACTTAAAATATTTTATAAATTTTTTCTAATATTTTTATGGTTTTTTTTTATAATTTTTTAATTTCATTAAAGTTCACTTGTAATAGATAAGGTTTGAAGATGATTGAACCAGATGAGGTGGAGTACGGTGTGTGAAGTGTATGCTCCATCTGAGATTCGGGTGATTCGAGTCTCGCGGAATTCGGTTGATGAAGAATTATACTTACTAAATTATCAAATTCAATTCAATTTAATTCACTCACTTGTCACATGGGTGAACACTACCTTACATTATGAAAAATTATTCGCCCTTTTCTGTTTTTAATTGATCTTTTGAGAAACGATTTTTTTTTTGTTTTTAATAAAGTTTTATAATATTTTAAATAATTTTTTTTACTTTTTAAATGAACATAATTTAGATGAACTTAAAAATTAAAAAGAAAATAGAAAATTTGTGAATTTTTTTAAATGTATTGAATTTTTATATATTTTTTGTATTTGATGAATTTCTTAAAGATTTTTTTTTCTATGGATATTATATTTTTTAAGTGTATCTAACTTATGTGAATCTAAAAAATAAAAAAAATTCTTAAAATATTAAAATTTTTGACTAAAAATAAAAATATATACAGAAAACAAAAAAACTCAATTTTCTGAAAAGCTGAATCAATTTTCTGAAACCAAACAAGGTAATTAGATTTTCTACAAAAAATTTTGTGATGGTCTGGGGCAAATTCACAAGGTGTCCTAATTTGATATATGATATATTATTGATTAAAGTTGTGGAATTTAGTATTTTTTTTTTTTTAGAAATTTAAGAAAAAACTTGACAATTGTCAGGTAATAAATGGTATGAAATAATGTTCTAAAACTACAAAATAGTCACTCACATTTTAGCGACACCACTTGTGCCAATAGTCTATTATCATTTGTCATATCCTCTACTATTTTCTATGCACCAATAAAAAATTGTGAATATTGTGATTCAAAGGAAACATGTTGTACAACCCTTTCGTAACATTACTATGCTTTAAGACCACTTAATAATCATCCTATTCCTAATATTTTTTTATATTAAGATTTATTATTTTGGACTCTTTATATATATATATATATATAGACCTAATAATCTTGAATCATAAATTCTAAAGAATAGATGTTCACAAAGTTGTTTTCTTGTGCTATATGAAACAGGGTGATACAAACCATTAAAAAGAGAGCATTAAGTCAGTTCTAATGAGCTGACAGTGCAAGAAATAAAAAAATAAAAAAATAAAAAACAAAATATCAAATCAATTGAAGCTACAGTATACTTAGAGCTATTAGAGCCCAGAAAAATGCCTCAGACCCCCAGTGGGGGTCACTGGGGGTCATGAATGGTGGCTTCCCATTGGTTAAAAAATTTTTTTTTTTTTTTTTTTTTTTTTGTGTTTGGACGAATGAGGGGCTGCCACCTCCCACTGGGGGTCAGTGGGGGTCGACCCCAGTGGGGGTCTGTAGCATAACCGTTAGAGCCCATTATTTTAGAATTCTTAAACAATTTTCATATATGAAAACCCAAATCACTGATGATTTCACTTTTCTTTTGCCGTGAGATGACATAAGCGAAAGTTGCAATCAATCAATCCCCCAAGTCATCTTAAATTTCTTTTTAAAATGATCAAGTTGCTTAATATATCACGGGGCCACTAGGTGTACATGAAAAACACGAAAGAAAGTGAAATGGAAAATTTTATGATAAACACTCTTTAATTATGATATTTGTGATTTTTTGTTATAATTTATTGTAATGTTAATTATAATTTAATTATAAAATTGTAATATTAATTATGATTCATTGTGATATTCATTATGAGATTAATTTGATTATAATAAAAAATATCTTTAATTATATCTTATGTAATTTTAGTTATAATTTTTTTTATGACTTAAAAAAAATTTAATTATAACATTTATAATAATAAATTTTATAAATATCATAATTTACATATAATATACACCTCTTGAGAATGTGTAGTACAGCATGACCCGAGTAGTGCTCTTGTTCGTAAGTACAAATTTTTTTTTTTGGACCACATAATACGACTCGCTAAGCATTATCGCTAGCTAAAAATAGATGGGCACGTTTATTTTCTTGTGAAGAAGATTTGCCTGTTTTCAACCACATCAATGGAAAATGTGTGTCATGCCAGGATACCAATCATTTTAGGGCAAATTACATATACACCCCTCGAGATTTGGCTAAATTACAGATATCCCCCTGAGATTTCGAAAATTACATCCCGCCCCCTGAGGTTTGTATTTTCATAACAATTTGCCCCCTGAGGTTTATATTTCATAACAAATTACCCCCTAATTTCTTATGCAAATATAGCATTCAGGGGGGAATTCGTAATTTCTCAAACCTCAGGGGGCATCTGTAATTTAGCCAAACCTCGAGGGGTGTATATGTAATTTGCCCATCATTTTAATATGTGTATTATATATAAATTATAATATTTGTGATGTTATTTATCATATATGTCTAGATCCTTTTGAATTATAATTTAAAAAACAAAATCATAACCAAATACCACATAAAGTATAACTAAATATCTTTTAAATTTTAATTAAAATAATGTCATAATTAACATCATACTGAGTCATAACTAACATTATAATAATCAAATACCACAAAAGGTGTAACTGGGGCATATATATAATACACTCTAAGAGCATGTTCGATACGATGAAATAAAATGATAGTAAGAATGGAATGCAAAGTTCCCATTTCGTTGTTTGGTTGACAACATGAAATGCCTATTAACTTCATGAAATGGAATAATTCTTTTTCTTTTTTTTTTCTTTTTTTTTAAATAAAAGAAATAAATTAAAATTTTATATAGATCATAATAATATTGATAGTTATAGAAATGATGGTGTGAGTCGTTGTAGTGGTAATAGCAATGATAGTAGGATGGTGGTGGTGGTGGTAGTGGTTGTGGTGGTGGTTGTGGCATTAGTAATGGTGATAAGGTGGTGTTGTAGTTGCGATCATGGTGGCTGTGGCGGTGGCACAACTATTGGTAGTAGAGTGGTGGTTCTCACGATGGTGATGGTGTGATGCTTATAAAGGTGGTAGTAGTAGCGATAAGGCAGTAGATGTTGTGGTTGTAGTAGGATAGTGGTTCTAATGATGGTGATAATGGTGGTTTTATGGTTGTGGATGTGATTGTAGTAGTTGTGATGATAGTAGCGACATCGGTACTACGGTGGTGTGGTGGGTGTGGCGGCGACCATGGTAGTGGTTGTAGCGGCAATAGGGTGACATTAGCGGTGGTGGAATAGATGGTAAGAGAAGGGAATGGTGGTGGTAGTTAAATCATAATATTTTTTTTAAGTGCAAACAATATATATATATTGTATAGTGATTCCATGATACAAGGAAATAGTCATTTCTTTGGTTGGAGGAAGGAATAGACATTCTCAAATTTTGTTGGAATAGCCATTCTAATGGAATGACTATTTCCACTTAAATAAGGTGCCCCAAACCAAGGAAAGAGAATGCAAAACTAGAATAGGGATTTCATTTCATCATACCAAACGTGTTTTAAAGGATTGCAATCCCCTCCATTTCATATTTGTAATGGAAAGCCTCCATTATATTATCTAATGATAAGTGTAATGACAGTTTTTAATTTAAAATAATTATAATTTTTCACTTCTATTTCATAGCCATTAGATATGTCAGTGTGTATATATATAGTTATATATTGTATTATATATAGTTATATATTAGTTGATTGGTAGTAATTGGTTCACATTCCATATTTAGTGTGTGATTGATTCCCCTTCCTATATGGTGTATATATTCTCCTCCTATAAATATAGGAATCATTGTACTTGGTTCAAAACATAATAAAGAATACATAGCTTGTTCTCTCTCTCTCTCTCTCTCTCTACAATATTTCATCATGGTATCAGAGTAATAATAAAAAAATTATTTCTTTTCTCCTATTCATCAACATAATACATCATCTTGTTTCTGTTTTTTTTATTTATTATTTATTTATTTTTATTTACTTTTGGGTACTGCTTGCACACTATTAGGCTATCCCGGTCACTCTTTTACTCAAAAAATACAATCATCTTGCTCGGAATTTCTTCCAAATTCCAATGCCACCAAAATCGTCGTCAACGGGCCAC